CGCACAAAAGGCGAGATGTGGGGAGATGTGGGGAGATGTGGGGAGATGTGGGGAGATGTCGGGAGATAGGACGAGCAGCTCGCGTGCCACGCGCACAAGTCTCCCCACATCTCCCCGCATCTCCCTTCATCTCCCCGCATCTCCCTACAACACCTCCCCACACCTCCCCACAACACCTCCCCACACCTCCCCACAACACCTCCCCGCACCTCCCCACACCTCCCGGCACCTCCCCGCACCTCCCCATATCTCCCCATATCTCCCCACAGGCCGTGTACGGCGTCGTGTTCGACAGCTTCGACCCGCACCGCCTTCTCACCTTCTCCGACGCGTCCGATACGCCCACCGGCCTCGTCAAGGGGTGGGACCTGCGCCGGCCGCGATCTCCCGCAATCTCCCGCAGTCTCCCGCACTCTCCCGCACTCTCCCGCAACAGGTGGGACCTGCGCCGGCTTGCGCACGGCTCTCCACTCTTCACCCTCTCGGCCGCCGACGCGACGAGCAGCGGGCGGGCGGGCGGGCGGGCGGCGCAGAGCCGAGGCCTCCTCCAGGTTGGCTGGTGCGCGACGCAGCGAGGGCTCGTCGGGACGATCTGCGAGGGCGCCGCCGGACTCTGCCTCTGGGACATCGACCAGATGCTTCTCACCAAGCGGCAGCAGCTGCAGCAGCAGCAGCAGCAGCAGCAGCCCGCGCCGCCGCCGCCGCCCGCCGCGTCGCAGCCGCCGCAGCCGCCGGCGGCGGTGGCGCGGGAGCAGGAGCTGGCGCACGCGCTCCCGCCAAAGGCACCGCCGCATCTCCCCGTATCTCCCCATACCTCCCGCCATATCTCCCCCTATCTCCCGCCAAAGGCACCGGCATTTCTCCGCATATCTCCCCATATCTCCCGCCAAAGGCGCCGCCGAAGGCACCGCCGGCGTCGCCCGCGCAGCCGGCGGCGGCGGTGCACGTCGCCGCCGCCGGGCCGCTGCCCCCCTCTGACGTGAGCAGCGACCCTTCACACCTCGAGCTGTGAATAGGTCCACCTCGACGCCGCCGGGCCGCTGCCCCCTCTGCTGCTGCCCGCGCAGCTCACCCCGAGCGCCGACACGTGGCAGCGCCCGTCCGCCGCCGAGCGCGCCGCCGCCGTCGCCGACTACAGCCTCCCCTCCGGCGGCGACGCTCGCCCTCTCCGCCTACGAAAGCGACCGCAACTGGCCTGGCAGCTGTTACGAAGCCCGGAGGCCGCCCCCTTCGGCCAAGTTTTCGTCCTTTCCCACCCCGACCCGGAGACACTGCCAAGGGTTAAAAATGGCTAAACCTCCCCCCCATATTCCCCCCCCCCCTAATCTCCCCCCCAAATATACTTCCCCCACATAAATCTTTCCCCCCCCCATTTTT